TACTCATGCCACATAATAAATCTCCTTTCTCAGCACTTACTGAATACTTTCCTCTTTGCTATATTGATGAGAATTGTTGGACTTGATATGTTGAAACCCCTGGAGTTGGGCCAATTGCCCACAACTCTGATTATATAAATATATGAATATTCATTTTTTAAAATGCCAGTATTTGGGACTGAGCTCAGGGCCTGGGTGTTATCTCTTGGCTCTTTTACTCAAAGCTTTACCATTTAAGCTATAGCTCTACTGTCAGCTTTTCGTTGGTTAATTGGAGGTATAGAGTCTCACATATTTTCCTGTCCAGGCTGGCCTCAAACCTCAATCCACTGACATGAGCCTTTTGAATAGCTAGGTTTATAGGCATGGGCCACTGGCATCTGGCTTAAATATCTTAATGTCACTGAATTTCACAACTGAAACTTATTACAAGAGTGGACTTTATGTTATGTACATTTTACCTAAAAAATAGAGTTTAAACACTGAAAGATCAATCTATTCAATTAATTAATTAATTCAATAGTTCTCAAAAGAAGTTTAAATGGTCAGTGAAGAAATGTTTGACATCCTTAGCCATAAAGGAAATGCAAATAAAAACTACACTGAAATTTGATGTCACTACAGTCAGACTGGCTGTAAAACAACAACAAATGCTGGTAAGGATGGGAGTAAAAAGAATTTTAAAATACTGTTAGTAGGAATGCAAATTCCATAGTACAGCACTATGGGATCAGTATGGGAATTCCTCACAAAAAGAATATAGTCTTAATATATCTTACTGAGCATATATCCAAAAGAATTAAGTCAGAATACAATAGATACACATTTACAATCATGTCTATAGCAGAACCGTTCACAATAGCCAAACTATACGATCTGCATAAGTACCCATTCATTGTTGAATGGATAAAGAAAATGTAGTAGATACATAATGGAGTATGTTTTAGCCATAAAGATGAATGAAATAATGTTGATCTTAAAATAATCATAATATTAATAATAATAATAGTAATCACCACCAAAAAGTGGGAAGTGAAGCTCTGGCCCAAGTGGCACAAAGCTAGCTTTGAGTACAAAAACACAAGGATAGCACCCAGGCCTTAAATTCTAGTCCCAGGACCAGCACCAAAACCAAAAAATGTAAAGGAGGATAACTACTCAGGAGGCCAAGATCTGGGGGTTATGGTTCCAAGCCAGCCCAAGCAGATAAATCTCCAGTTAATTGCTAAAAGTTGGAAGTAAAGGCATAGATCAAGTGGTAGACTGCCAGTTGTGAGCCAAAAAGCCAGGCGACAGTGGAGACCTAAGTTCAAGCAAAAAACAAACAGCAGAATCAAAAGTTGTAGCTGGAGATCATCATGTGAAGCAAAGTAAACAAGATTCAGAAACATAAATAGCTCACGGTTTTTCTTGTATGAAATCTGGAAAAACATACACGAGTAAACAGCAAGGTATAGCTGGGGGAGGAGGAACTAGCAGCAATGGGAGGGAGATAAAGATTGTGGTGGTGATGTTTATATGATCAAAGTGCTTTACACACATGTATAAACACAAAAGTATAAAGCCCATTAAAACAAAAAGAAGAGATAGGTAGGAAACAGTAATAGAGGGGTGTTTGATTATGTTGTATACATATATAGAAAGATCACAATGAAACAAATGTACAACTAATACATGCTTCATAAAGAAGTTTAAAAAGTATGGTAAGTGAAGCCAGGCATTGGTGGCTTATACCTGTAACCCTAGCTGCTCAGGTCTTGGATGGTCATGAGACTTTTATCTGCTTTTTTTCTGCCAGAAATGTCATAGTGACTCAAAGTGATAGAGCACTAGCCTTGAGCACAAAAGCTGAAGAACAGTGCTTAGGTCCTGCGTTCAATCCCTAGGACTGGCGTGCATACATTCTCATATTCATGTACATAGACAGACAGATACACACACACACACACACACACACACACACACACACACACACACAGAGTATGCTAAGTGAAAATAAAAGCCAGACAAAAATTTTTACTTAATATACGATTACATTTATTCAACTGAGTATGTAGAATAAACACACTACAGCTCCTATAGCTCTGAGTAGTGACTTTGGGCACAGCATTTACCATAATGGAGCTAGAAGTACCCATGTTTCTTCAGGTTGCTCAAGAGTAGGGAATTGAAGCAGGTGCTATTTAGATAACAAGATATGCTTTAATCACACTCTGTGGTTTTCCTCTCACAGCAGGAGTTATCTCTATCAGGTTATCTCAGACGCTGTTGATAATGGCTTTATGGTTTGAATTGATTTCTGTTAGTGGCTGTTCTAGTAGAGGTGCAGTGAAACACTTGTCTGCTAATTAGACTGCCATGCATGTCTGATGCAGGATCTGGTACTTCATGTGAACAGGTTCACACAAACTTTTTTGTGGTTTTTCTACCTACCAGTCCTTCAGCAGCTATTTGTTTGATAAGGCATATGCCATTGTGTGTGTGTGTGTGTGTGTGTGTGTGTGTGTGTGTGTGTGTGTGTGTGTGTGTATGTGATTTATGTGATGTGCTACATAGGTGAAGAGGGACAGGTGTATTATTCTTCCCTGGTGCTACAGGGCACATAGGAGCAGGAACTCGGACCCTCATACCTGCTTCAATTATGCTTGTCGAAGGACAGGGAAATAGCCAGGGACTTTTCCTCCTGGGATTCTTATAGTTATAGTGCTTACCAGAGATGGATAAGTGTAGTTTATGATTGTCCAGGTGTTTTTCTCTGGAGCTTCTTAGGGGAGGTGATAAGTCATTGTCCTCCCTTCCCTCCCTCCCTTCTTCCCTCCCTCCCTCTTTCCCTCCTTTCCTCCTTCCTTCCTTCCTTCCTTCTGACCTGCCTGTGTATCCATCAGCTTCCATCTCTATCTTTGCCACTAACTTTCTCTAAAGTTAATTCAGTGTAATTAGGCTTGGGGGAAAAGTAAGCTGAAACAGAGGACATGTTATAATCAACATAGCAGGGAGAACCTTCATTCTAGTTTCAGAATGAGTACACTTCCTAAAACCAAGTCACAGAAAAGCTTTGAGCACCTTTCCTTTGTAGTGGTTATTCTTCTTCAGACAACTCAGCCTATATGCCTATTTTCTCTTCATACCTTATATATTATTTTAGGCTATTCATATTCTTTTCCAGGAATGAGTCTGCTGTGAGCCAAGAGGATGAGAGGGAGAGTGAAAAGTTGTTAGTCATTTTTTTTTTTTTTTTTTACTGTTAACAAGACTTTGTTAATAGGGTGCATGACTGCCATTGTTGTATTAAGTATGTAGTGAACTGGGAAGAATTATCTATCCTGGAAGAAGTTTTCTGGATAGTTTGGCTATAGTCTTTGTTGCTTGCTGTCCACAGAGCCTCATGTGTGGAGAAGCTAGGGACTTCTTCCTGTTTCTCCTTTGTGCACTTCTGTGTCAAAAAATGAGAAGGAAGTAGCTATATACGAGATGGTCACTGAGCCACACAACCTATGTAAATAGGAAGCTGAACTCTCAGATGTTATGACCTTTTAGTTCATTGCTTATTCTAATGATTGCTAGGTTTTCAGAGTTGTGTTTTAATATTTGGCTAGTTAATTATCATGATAATGGTGATAATTCTCACATTTTAATTTCAAGCAATTTATGTTCAATAAGTAATGTATCAAAGTATACTTTCATAAATTAGCACCCTGGATGAGGTAGGTGATTCAAGAAGCTTGCTTAGAAAACATGCCTTAAGAGAGTGTATTTTCTACATACCAGGGCATGATAAATTATATAAGACTCTAGGCATTCACCCAAAGAAAGGTACTCTTCTGGGAAGGACACAAAAGCACAATGCTTATGTGCCTCTGATCATATAAATAATGTTTATCCATGGAAAGAAGAGTTTTTTCTTTGTTGTTGTTTTTGTTTTCTTTTCCTTTTAATTTATCTGGCTTTGGGGGAGAGTAAGAGCAGCACAAAGGGTGATATTCACTGAACACTGTTGAAAATGAACTATACATCGTGTATGTAGGGATGGGAGGGAAAAACTGGGAGAGAGGAAGGAATGACAGTCATCAAAAAGAAATGTTTATCTGAGTTACGTTCCTGTAGCCACCTTTACAATAACAATAATAAATTAAAAATAATATGTAACTTAAATGAACTCCAGGAAATGGAAACGAGTTTTTTCTTTGTTGTTGTTTTTTCTTTGTTCATCTATCTGATTTGGGGAGGCCAAGGGGAGACACAGAAATGGAGAGACAAAGGGTGAACAAATGCAGCAGTAGTACTTACTAGACACTCTATTGAAAATGAACTGTACAAGTATAGGTGGTGACGGGAGGTAAGAGTCAGGGAAGGGGTAACATAGTCCAAAAAGAAACGTACTCATTACCGAACTTATATAACTGTAACCCCTCTGTACATTACCTCTACAATAGCAATAAAATGTATTAAAAATAATAAAGTGTATTTTCTATGTAATCATGTTTTTTTTTTTTTGTAGGTCGTGGGGCTTGAACTCTGGGCCTAGGTGCTGTCCCTCAGCTCTTCAGCTCAAGGCGAGCGCTCTACCACTTGAGCTACAGCGCCACTTCTGGTTTTCTGGTGGTTTATCGGAGATAGGAATCTCACGGTCTCTCCTGCCCGGGCTGGCTTTGAACCGCGATCCTCAGATCTCAGCCTCCTTAGTAGCTAGGATTACAGGCGTGAGCCACCAGCGCCCGGCTGTAATCATGTTTTTATTGTGTGAAAAGTGGACTGAAATTTAAAAAGCTCTGTTTCTGTTGAGGATGGAGTAACACGATCAACTTTATCCTTTTACCTAAGACAACCACGCAAATCAGATACAACAATTATTTTTGAAGCCCTGGCCAACAGGCAGTGAATATAACTGAAAAATTGGAAGTAGAACGTGGTCACTGCTCTGCTCAGTGTCCAGGGAAATTGAATCCCAGCTGAGTGGATTAAGTGACATAGGAATGTAGACTGGATGCAAATCAGTTTTCCCTAGGTTACCATGTTCCTCCCGTAGATATGGTCATTTTCAGTATTTAACAATGCAACAACAGCTAGATAAGACAGAGTAAGATTATTACTGTAGATGGTATGGAGATTGCAGACACTGGCATGAGTACAACGCCCAGAGAGAAATGTGAGGGAGGAGGCAAGTGACTTTTCCAGGCCCTGGCAACACTGGTGCTTGTAAACTGAAGGCGAGATCAGTAAGCAGCACCTGTGCTTAGCAGCGCCTCTGCTGTACTTGTGACCAGAGGAGAACTTGTGTAAAGATAAAACCTGGGTAAGTTTTAATGCTATTCTGTGTCTTCCTACTATCCTTTGACATTGTCTTTGTTTTACTAGTTGCTTCTGTCACATACTCAGATGTGTGTGTGTGTTTGTGTATGAAACTGACTGCATGATGTTAATTTTAGCCTGCTGTTTTCTTTTTCCAGAAAAGCCTAACACTAAGAAGAAAGATAAAAACTGGACCTTAGCTGATTTTTCTTATCCCTGACACTTCAGCCTTAAAGTGTTTTGAGCTACTGAAGCTAATCAAAATGAATAATTCAGAACATACAATTGGAGTGAATTCCCCAAAGGTTAGTTTATTATTTCTGGAATGACTTTAAGCTTTCTACTTTTTCTCCCTTCCTTCTTTTCCTCTTTCTTTTTGTTTTCCTTCCTTCCTTGTGTTTGTTCTGAAGTTCTTTCACTCTTTTTGAGACACTGACTCAGTTGTGAGCTGACCTCCAGCATGTGACCTTCTTTCCTTAGGCCCCTGAGTGTTGGTATTATAGACATGCATTATTATGTCTAGGTCTGAAGTAACTCTTGGTTTCATAATGCAGAAATAACAAGAATGTTTGATTCATAAAGTGAAAAATTGAGTCCATGACTCTATTGGTATTTGTGATATTGTGTAAATAACTTAATCTCTGCGTCTCAGATTTTTACTTATAAAATAAATGTAATTGTTAGGTTTTTAAAAAAGAGGTAGCACCACGCACGTGGTATTCAGGTAAGGGGTAGGTTTATTCATCGTTCTGGCTGGCACCAGGCCATGTTGGCCCTCCATGCGGCTGGGAAAGGCCTGGGAAAGACCTGGGAAAGAGAGAGAGTTGGGAAAGAGGGGCTCTGGGCCTGGGCTAGGCCTTATCTAGGGTATGGGTGGAGAAAGGTGTGGCCACATCAAATTCAGATGTGACCTCTTCCAGGTGTGCCTAGGTAACACAGGTACTGGGTGAAGACTTTGTTGTGAGGAGGGTGGAGTCTGCTCGCCATCCAGGAACAGACCTTACAGTAATAATATCAGCTGTCTATAGTAGTAAGAAATTAATGAGACAGTGCTAGAAAAGAGCATATTGCAATGTCTTTCAAATGGTAGAAATACACTAAAAGTTGATTTACTTTGAATTTGTTAACTCTTTTTCCAGTCCCTTAAAAAATATGGAGGGCCGGGCGCTGGTGGCTCACGCCTGTAATCCTAGCTACTCAGGAGGCTGAGATCTGAGGATCGCGGTTCAAAGCCAGCCCGGGCAGGAGAGACCGTGAGACTCTTATCTCCAATAAACCACCAGAAAACCGGAAGTGGCGCTGTAGCTCAAGTGGTAGAGCGCTCGCCTTGAGCTGAAGAGCTGAGGGACAGCGCCTAGGCCCAGAGTTCAAGCCCCACGACCGACAACAAAAAAAAAAATATGGAAACGGGCTGGGAAGATGGCTCAGTGGTAGAGCGCTTGCCTTACATACATGAGGCCCTGGGTTCGATTCCTCAGCACCACATAAGCAAAAAGAAAAAAGCTGGAAGTGGCACTGCAGCTCAAGTGGTAGAGCGCTAGCCTTGAGCTGAAGAGCTGAGGGACAGAGTTCAGGCCCCACAACTGGACCCTCCCCCCCCAAAAATATGGAAATTATGACTCTTACAACAAATATGGGTTCCTTTTCAGCCTGCTGAAAACGGTTGAACTGATTTTTGACAAAGCTCAGTAGCTTAATTCTGCCAGAATTTTTTATTTTTTTTTTTGGGTTCGGTCGTGGGGCCTGAACTCTGGGCCTGGGCGCTGTCCCTCAGCTCTTCAGCCCAAGGCTAGCGCTCTACCACTTGAGCCACAGCGCCACTTCTAGCTTTTTTCTTTTTGCTTATGTGGTGCTGAGGAATCGAACCCAGGGCCTCATGCATGCAAGGCAAGCGCTCTACCGCTGAGCCACCTTCCCAGCCCCTCTGACAGAAATTTTATGGAAATGAGATTTCATTTTATATTAAGATCTGTCAATGTGGATATGGGAAGAGTTAATTTTTCCCCCTATCCTTGAACCTGGGCTTGAGTGCTGTCCCTAAGCTCCTTTTGCTCAAGGATAGCACTCTGCCACCTGAGATACAGCACTACTTTCAGCTTTTTCTGTGATTAAGTGGACTTAAGAGCTTATAGACTTCTCTTCCCTGGTTGGCTTTGAACTCAGTCTTCTGAATAGCTAGGATTCCAGGGATAAGCCACTGGTGCCTGGATAAAAGGTGTTAACTGTGTGCAGCTGATAAGTCTTGTGCAGAAAGACTAGTCAAACCACCATAGAAAGGAGTTAAAATGATCAGTCAAAGAAAGCATTGTAACTACAAACTTACACATGATAATTCATACTGTGAAGATAACTTTCTGTGTGGGAAGAAAACAGGAAGATTTAATGTAGATGCGATGAGAGTAAAGACGCCTCATGAGAAAGAGGCATTAGAGCCTCTTTCTACACAGAATTTCTAGGAATATGTGAAACCAGCATTTCAAGAGAGAAAACGGCCTTGCAGAGAATAAATATTTAGTGAACGTACCCAGAATCAATCCCAAGTTCAACAGCTGGGAAACCTAATGTCTCCCTGACTTTTTGAGGCCTATGCTGTACTGAGGAGACAGATAAGGATCTGAGGGTGCATGAGGTAGCACAAACTGACGATGGGGGAAATCTTTCCCTCTTTTTTTTTTAATCTCTGCATCTTAGTGCCAGCAGAGACCACAGCCTTGACCACGAAGGTCTGTAAGGTGGATCTATTTCTCCTCCCAATGGGTAGGAGATAATAATCTCTTTACTTCTTGGTTCTCACTGTCCTGTTCTGGCTCAGCCTCATCCCCACAGAAATGAGTGTATGCCATCACCTCTTAACAGGTTTTATTGCCTGTAGCCTCTTTATTCCTTTGATATATTCTTACCTGACTGACAAGGTAATCTTCCTGAAATACCATTTAGAACAGCAACTTCCTCAGTCCAAAACTTTTCCCAGCACCATGCTGGCAGAGGAGCAGCTTATTGGGAGGTGCTTACACATTCCCTTCTTTTATTGGGAGGTGCTTGCACAGTTCCTTCTTTACCTTTTCCTTTCAGATTAGAAACATGGCCAGGACCCAACCTCCTTAGTTGATATTCAGGAATATCTTCTCTGTCCTTCAGACATTGAGGGCATTGTCTTGTAGGGATGGGTGAGATCCTTCATAGACCTAAATGAGTCACAGAGTTGGAAGCCCCATTGTGTTTCCTCAATTTTTGTTCTCGGATTCGGTTTCATAATTAAGTACTCAGACTCTCTTGCTGTCAGACTTGAATTCAACACCAGTTCTGTCATTAACTCTGGAAATCTTTTCTATAAATTATTAGTCTTCTTTAAACCTTAATTTCCTCATTTGTTAATTCCAGGAGGCTCATTGCGATTGTATGAGTGAAGTTTGGATTATAAGAAACACTTTATACAAATATTTAATAAGTGCCTAGCCTATAATGAGCCTTGAGTCCATATTTCTTAATTAAATCATTCATAAGCTATATATGTATTGATAAATAGAGTTTCAGCAGATGACTTCTGACTTGCCTTTTTTGCATCCCTAGGATCAGTTAGCAGTTTTCCTCTAAGTATTGTTTTTGGAGAGTGTTCCAAACCACCACTTTTATTTAGTGGTGGTGCTGGCTGAAAACACTGGATTAGGAATACTGAATTTTAATGTCAAGGAGCTGGATGGGAACTTCATAGACTAAAATAGACTCAAGAAAGTTAGTTGAAAATCTTCTGTGGGTCCTCTAGTTTTGCACAGCCCTCTGGTTTTTTCTTTCTTTCTTTCTTTTTTTTTTTTCATATATCACAAAGACATGTAGTTGCTGGGTTATGACTTTCTTTTTGTTTTTTGTTTTTTTGTTGTTGGCCATGGGGCTTGAACTCTGGGCTTGGTCGCTATCTCTCAGCTCTTCAGCTCAAGGTGAGCGCTCTACCACTTGAGCCACAGCGCCACTTTCTTTTGGTTGTTCTTAATTGGCCATTTGTTTTGTTTTCCTTTTAATTAAAAATAGTAGAAGGTCTTAAAGCTGGGGCACTGGAGAGTAGGTTCTTAGTGTTCTAGTCCCATTTCATAAGGTCCTTCACAGACTTAAATGAGTCACAGAGTTGGCAGCTTCATTGTGTTTCCTCAGTTTTTGTTCTAGGATTTGATATCATCAGGCTCATTGTTAGAATGAGAAGAAAACTTGAGCTCTTCTCCTTTTAGATTCTATGTAAAACAAGTGAACCATAAAGAATTTTGCTGTTTTATTTGGCAATTAAAATCTTCAAGATCTAAAATAATGGTAGCACTGGCAAAGTCACAATGCCTTGAATAATCTTTTTGCATATATCAATTGTAAAAATGCTGAATTTCATGATAACATTTTAATACATGTGCACAATTTACAGTGATCCTATTTATCGCTTATCGGTTTCTTTTGTTCTCTCCCTTCCCATTTGCTACTTCTCCATCTTACTTCCAAGTCTTTCCTCCACCCTCCCCATTCCTGGGGCTTGAACTCAGGGTTTGAGTGCCCTGAGCTATTGTGCTCAAGGATAGTGCTTTACCACTTTGAGTCACAATTCCATTCCAGCTTTTTTGGATATTAATTTCTTGTCATATGAATAGCTGAAGAAAATTTTTCTCTCATTCTTTAGTCATCTCTTCATTCTGGTAAATTATTTTCTTTCTTGCATAGAAACTTTAGTTTGATGCAGCCTTATTTGTCATTTCTTCCCATGACTTCCTGAGCACATGGAATCCTACTAAGAATGTCTTGTGTATGTTTGCGTATTGAAATGATTTCCTGTAGCAGTTTCAGTTTTAGGTCTTAGATTTAGATCTTTGACCAATTTTGAGTTGATTTTTATACAGGGTGAGAAGTCTTGTTTTAGTCTTTTACATGTTGATATCCAGTTTTCCCAGCAAACATTATTGAAGAGGTTGTCTTTTCTTTAGTGAATGTTTTTGGCACCTTATTGAGAATCAGATTGTTTTATTTTTTGGACCTCCTATTTTATTCCATTGATCTATATTTCTGTTGTTGTGGCAGTATCATTTTAGTTTTTCTGACTATGTCTCTGTAAACTTGAAATTAGATATTATGCTACTTCAGCATTGGTCTTTTTGTTATGGATTGCTTTGACTATACAAGACATTTTGTGCTTCTATGGAAATTTTAGATTTGTGTTTTCTATTTATGTGAAGACTGTGATTGGAATTTTGATGGAAATTGCATTGAATCCATATATCACTTTGGTAATATTTTAAAAAGTATTTTGTTGATATATGAACATTGGAAGTCTTCTCATTTTCTGTTGTCTTCTACAATTTCTTCAGTGCTTTTGTTCAGTATTAGTTATGGAGGTATTTCATCTTGTTTAGTTTTATTGCTACATATTTAATTTTTGAGGCTATTATTAATAGGATTGTTTTACTGATTTCTTTCTCAAAATGTTCACTAATGGCATATAGAAATGCTACTGATTTTTGTATGCTGATTTTATATTCTCCGCTGAAAGTGTTTAAACATCTAAGAGCTTTCTGGTAAAGTCTTGGATCTTCTAAACACAAGATCATATCAACTGTCAATAGGAATAACTAGACTTCTTCCTTTCCTGTTTATATATATTTTATTTCTTTTTCCTGCCTTATTGCTCTGGCTAAGAATTCAAACATTATATGGAAAAAGTGGTAAAAGTGTATGTGTGTGTGAAAGAGTTTGGAGTCAAAGCATTTTTCCACTGATTATTTCAAGAAAAGCCTGAGAGGCTATGAAGAGGTTTGCAGAAAGGGAAATGCTGGTAGCTAACTATATTACCTATACCAACAAAACATATACACACACAGACACACAGACACAGACACACACACACCACAAAAAATAAAGTAACAACAAAACTATAATAAGGCCATGTGCTCAGGAGGTACTCAGGAGGCTGAGATCTAAGGTTTGCAATTTGAAGCCAGCCCAGGCAGGAACATCTGTGAGACTATATCTAATTAATCACAGAAAAAGCTGGAAGTGGCACTGTGGCTCTAGTGGTAGAGTGCTAGCCTTGACCAAAAGGAGCTCAGGGACAGTGCTCAGGCCCATAGTTGAAGCCCCAGGACTGGTTTGCCAGTGTTTTGACAAATCACAAAACCAGAACAACATTGATGTTATTTTTCATTGGCTCACATTGACTCCTATAATTGAATTACTTATCAGTTACAAATATACCACTAATCTCTGTTTCTTCATCATGATGCCCTTGTCCAACCCCAAATAAAGGTGTATTTAGGGGAGTACTTACAACAGACAGTTTTTTTAGAGTAGGCAAACATCAGTGTTTAGGGAGTCTGATGCATAGACTTTCAACTTGATTTTCTTCAGTGGCATAGTTTACAAGGCCTCTCCCTCATTTCTTTCCTCCTTGACAGCCATTACATACCTTCATTTCCATCCTTGTTCAGGTAAATCTTCTATAACCTTAGATTTCTGTCATCCATATGTCTCTCTGAAAAACTACTCTTCTCCCAATATCTCCTGCCTAACAACCTCAATTTCTTTTTTTTTTTTGGGGGGGAGGGTCCGGTCATGGGGCTTGAACTCTGGGCCTGGGCACTGTCCCTCAGCTCTTCAGCTCAAGGCTAGCGCTCTACCACTTGAGCCACAGGGCCACTTCCGGCTTTTTTCTTTTTGCTTATGTGGTGCTGAGGAATTGAACCCAGGGCCTCAGGCATGCAAGGCAAGCACTCTACCACTGAGTCACCTTCCCAGCCCCCTCAATTTCTTTTCATCTGATAGACAAGTGTTAAGATCATAAATGTTAACTGATAAGATAAACTCTAATTGTACACTTAATGCTTTCAACAAAATCTGACCAGAAAAACAAATCCCAACAATATCAAACTGTCAACTGACTAATCAGTCAAGAACACAGACAATAATCTATTAGGAAGACTACAGCATCTACCCCCAAAATTAAAACCAAAAGAGTTTCCAAATGGGCAGAATAAACCATAGAAATAAGAAAAATGGCAAGTTAAGGAAGCTTAATTCCCACAGAAAGTAACCAGACAGTACAGCAGACAATGAAGGACCTACAGATATTTCTCAAAATGCTTTAAAAATACTGCTAATAAATATAATTAATGAAAAGATAGAAAACTTACACAAGGTAGTTAATAAGCAGTATGAGACTAAACAGACATTATTAGAATACATGGAGTCTACAAACTGAAAACCAAAAGAATTCCAAGAGAAGGAAAGACTCCAATGAAAAAAAACAGTCACCCAACTAAAGGAAATGAGATTAGACATAGATGAACAAATCAAGAAGTGATGCCTGTATATGACCAAAAGGAAAACTCCAATAAAGAGAAGCCATCAAAAATTACCAATTAGAAGACAGAGAAATTAAAAAAGTAGGAAGTCTTGACAGCAGAATAGATGATATAGAAGACAGTATTAGAGATTCAAGACAGATTAGATATAATAGAGAAAGAAGAGAAATTATTCAGAGCAAATGCAAGAAACAGGAAATGAGCTTGCAAGAACTTTAGGACTCAGAAGACCTAATTTAAGACTGATAGGTACTTTGAATGGAGAAGAGAAGGAAACTAAAAGTATAGGAAACATATTCAACAGAATTCTAGCAGAGAGCTTCTTGAACATCCAAAAAGATAGGCCCATTCAAATATAAGAAGGCTTTAGAACTCCCAACGGACCAGACACAAATAGAACATTCCATCAACAGATTGTAATATGGATAGGCTCAATAGAGACCAAGGAAAGCAACCTTAAAGTTATCAGAGAGAAAAGCTTGATTACTTGTAAAGGAAAACCAGTCAGAATACCTACAGAGCTTTCCTATGACCCAGTAATTCCACACCTGGACATTTAGCCAATAGACCAAAACCACACTAAAGCTACCAGCACATCCATGTTCATTGCAGCATTGTTTACCATAGTCAAGATATGGAATCAACCTAGATGCCCTTCAGTGGATGAATGCATAAAGAAAAATCTGGCGTAGTCACACAATGGAATTCTATGCTTTTATAAGAAAGAATGATACTGCATCATTTGTAAGAAAATGGAAAGACTTGGGAAAATATTGTATTAAGTGAAGTAAGCCAGACCTAAAGAAACATAGGCTGCATGGCTTCCCTCATTTGTGGTAAATAGAATGTGCCTATAAATCTACAAGTAGGAAGTGGCACTGTAGCTCAAGTGGTAGAGTGCTCTCCTTGAGCTGAAGAGCTGAGGGACAGCGCTCAGGCCTGGAGTTCAAGCCACATGACCAACAACAACAACAAAAAATCTAAAAAATAAATCTACAAGTAAACACAATGAATGGTAAAAGACAAAAAATTACAGGTGGACATGATCAATTAAATAGGACTCTGAACATTCACACAGGGAAACCAAAGGAAGATATTCTTAGGAGAGGATCACAATGGCTCAATAGCTATGTGTATGTGATCATATAATATGATGTTTATTGAAATGATAAGAGTTTTTTGGGTTTTTTGCCTTTTTTGTTTGTTTCTTTCCTTTATGAGGGTTATTATTATTATTAAAGATTCCATGTAAAACACATGACCCAGTAAGTTTTAGTGAGTATTTAATATTTTATTGGAATTGCTGGCATCATACTAAGGTCATAGTGTACTCATAATCATCAGAATATAATGTATTCTTTGGGGATAAGAGATATTTTGCCTATGTTCCAGAAATGAAATGCCTATCTTCTGCATATTTTTATCTCTGTAGGTCAAGGGTAATTTTGCAGGTCATGCTCTCCCTGGAGCAATCATTTTTACCCTGGGTTTTTGGTGGTATATAAAGATTCTTTTGATGTATGTATACAAAAAGCAAACACGGACCTACTACATTCATTCTAAAGCATTCTTCCAGAGAGCAGAAATTTTGGAAGGAATTATAAGCCTGTGTATTATCTTAACTGGTAAGTGGAAAATTTTTGTTTTATTTTTTTTGTGTGCATAGATTAGACTCAATATAAAAAATGACTACAAATATTTTCATATTCAAAATATCTCTTAATATGTATCTAATTGTAATTGCCACCAGATATAATTTGTTAAGAAGATAATAATGCCTCATGTTTAAACAAAGGATTGTTCTTTAATGAGTTAGAGTATTTAATTTCCCTACCAAGTGAAGGTGAATTAGATTTTAGAATTGGTTTTAGAATTGGTTTTAGATTTTAGAACCTCTGAAGCACTCTCATAACAAATTTTTCTGATAACTGAAAGAATGAACTCTAATTTAAATCATTTTTCAAATAATACCAAAATGATTAAATGATTGTAGAAAATATTTACTAGTAAATCACTGTGGATAGGCTGTAGACTGGTCAGGGCACTCATCCTTTTCTGTTTCTTCTCTCTTTCTTTTGCTCTTCCTTCTTTTCTTTCCCTTTTCCCCTTTTTCTTTCCCTCCCTTCATTTCCTTCTTTCTCTCTTTCACTTCCTTCCTCCTTCCCTTTCTTTTCTCTTTCCTTTCCTTCCTTCCCTCCTTCCTTTCTTCCATCCTTCCTTCCCCCCCCTCCCTCTCTCTCTCTTTCCTTTTATGCCAGTTCTAAGGCTTGAACTCAGGACCTAGTTATTCTCCCTGAGCTTTTCTGCTCAAGGCTAGAAGTCTACCACTTCTGGCTATTTGGTAGTTAATTGGATAAAAGAGTCTCATGAACTTTCCTGCCTGGGCTGGCTTTGAACTGCAATACTCAGACCTCAGCACCCTGAATAGCTAGATTATAGATGTGAGCCACCAGCACCTGGCTTCTCTTGCTTTCTGACTTGGTTAAGGAGGTTAGATTAGTCCAGGTAATTTCTGAATCATAATCATTGCCTTTGAAAATTCTTCAAAAAATTCTGTATTTTAGAGTTCTATTAGAAATTTTCCTTCCAGTATTCAAATTAGATTTTTCTCATGCTTTATTAATGGCAATAGATTTTCATTGACCCTGAATTACAGATCAACTGTCTCCAAAGAAAATAATTTCCTTATCAATTTCTATAGGTTAGCAAATAAGTTATCATCTCTAAGAAAGTTAAACTTTTTGTATAACTGACTAAATCATGTGGTGTATCTACCTAGGCCTCTCCAGTTATCCTTAATTGAGTCAAAGCAGAATTTCAGAGTTTTGATCAGATAAGAAGGATAACTCCTTATCTTGTGGCAGCTATGCAATGATGTAGAACTTAGGAAGGAAGTAACTATCCTTTATTATACTGACTCATAAGCCTAATTCCTTAAATAATTCAAAATTTAATTTAATCATTAGATTGGAATTGGTAGTTGAACTAAAATCAACTGCATTGAAGATCTGAAATAGCCAAGAGAGAGGAATCTGGCTCATAAGAGGATGATAGATTGGAAAAACTTCAAGCGTATCCCCCTACATCTTCATGTAATCCTAGGTAAATTTATGGAGAAAGTTATTCATGCTGTCTTCTGTTCTTCTACAGGTGTAATTGTTCTACAGATCAAGGCTGTAAATGAAGACCAGTGGCTCCGGTTCCTGCGCTTTCATCATTTAACTATCTATCTCTTCCTTGCTTTGTGGGCAGTGACCAACATCTTATGCTTCAGCACCAGGTCAATTCCAGTCTCCTTAACCAAATTAATGTTGACAAATGCCTTTCTTGTGACTGGTAAGTATGAGTAACTATTCTTCATTAGCCAATATTTGTATAGCCCTTTATAACAGTGTATCTTTACTGCAGCTTTGATTGATAATTCTGTATATCTTGGCCATCATGAGATACTTGGATATTCTAAGCAGAATGCTGAAAATCTTTCTTCCCTATTAATAGAAGTATACAAATAACAATTTCTCACTATGCTTTTTTTCACATTATACTTATCTTAAGAAAGAAATACTAACAGTTCTTACCAATCTCCCTGGATATTATCATTGTTCTCACATTTGACAATGAAAACAACTCAGAACAATGGATATCTTGTAATGAGGCAACTACTTACAACAGGACACCTTCCACTATCTGCTCACAAGCTTTCAGAATACTGAGAGAGTAAAATTGTCCCAATATATGATGGGTAGAGTCTAAAAGTTTATTCACATCAAAACATAAGGTCTTTATTTTCTTTATTTTTAGACTTTCATTAAAAAAAAAAACTCTGTGTGTGTGTGTGTGTGTGTGTGTGTGTGTGTGTGTGTGTGTGTGCGCGCGCGCGCGCGCTTGTCCTGAGGCTTAAATCAGGGCCTGGGTGCTATTGCTGAGCATTTTCACTCGAGGCCACGGCTCTACAACTTGAACTTCAGCTCCTGTTCCAGCTTTTCAATGATTCAATGAGATAACTCTCACAGACTTTCCTGCCCAGGCTGGTTTTAAACCTCCATCTTCAGATCTCAGTCTCCGAAATAGCTAGGATTGTAGATGTGAGCCACTAGCCCTGGCAGAAGTATGTTTTTGGTTTGTTTTTTTTTAAAGAAATTCTTATTATTATGGTGATGTACAGAGGGGTTATAGGTACATAAATCAGGTAATGAGTACATTTCTTTTTGGACAATATCACCACTTCCCTCTCTGTCTCTCCAGTTTTTTCCTTCTATGCCAACCCACAAATTGTTTAGTTTATTTTCAACATAGTGTGTAGTGAGTATCAATGCTGCATTTATTCACCCTTTGTCTCTCCATTTCTGTGCCCTACCTCACCTTCCCAAAGACAGAAAAATGAACAAATAAGACAAAAAGAAAAGAAAACAAAAACAACAAAAAAATCTCTTGTTTTTATTTCCTGGAGTTCATTTTGATAAATGTTATTTATATTATCAGAAACGCATAGACAGCATACCTTTGTATTTCTCCCCTAAGAATATCCTCCTTTGGTCTCACTGTGTATGAATGCCTAGAGTCCTGTATAATTTAGCATGTCCTGGTCATTTTAGATCTAGCTTCTACATATGAGAGAAAACATTTGCCATGTCTTTCTGAGCTGGACTTACCTCACAAAATAATTTGTCCTGGGTCCATCCATTTCCCTAAAAAGGGACATAATATTATTCTTTCTGATGTAAAATTCCCTGTGTATAGGTATCACAGTTTTTTTTTTTGATCCACTCATCTGTTGTAGGCAATCTGGGCTATGGAAATAAAGATTGGGGCATAGAGGAGGAAATTAGATTTTAAGAATTATATTGTATAGAATCAGTGATGAATTTAAGAATGTAAATGTGTGTATATATATTACTGTGGAAATCAGTGGGACTTGTTTTTTTTTTTTCAATTGTGACTGTATACAAAATCTGCACAGAGAAAAAGAGAGGAGCATTTGATTTCACTGAAGTAATAATAATAAAAATGATCACGATAATAATAGTAATAATAATAACAACATTATTTTCCCCTTATCTATTAGCTTTTATCTTCTACAACCACAATAATGGCCGAAAAATGGTGGACAGCCTTTTGCATCAGCTGCAAAGCGTGGCTACCTTTTTGGCAGGCTTGGTTTCTTTCATAGAGCTCCTTATTAGGAAAAATATAATGCTGAAGATTCTGCGGTCAAGTTTTGTCCTACTGCAGGGAAGCTGGCTGTTCCAGGTAGGCCTCTGGATAACATACCTGGTGTCTCCTACATGTAACATGTCTCCTCATTTGGAGGAACCTACTGCTATAGATTCCAGAGACTTCCCTCTGGACTGCTATCTGCAGTGACAGTTTGGGCTGTGGAGATTCTTTGACGCGCAGTGACCTTACTTGTAGGTGTTAGAGCAGCTGGGCAGAAAGCAGAATGTGTACATCTTTATCACATACCTGATCCTTCTAGCTGATGCTTTGTGAGAAGCAGTTCCTGATGGTAAAATACCTTTTAACCTTAACGGGTAGAGAGCTTGAGAAATATAGAAAAGGCATGAAAGTGACAAAGCTATCATTTATTGAGAAACTAGTAATGTGAGCCACTGTATTTTTTTTTTGCACATTTTATTTTACTCTGTTTTTACCATAATCCATAACTCAGGCCTTATCATTTCTAAAGTTTTTTTTGGATCTGGTCGTGGGGCCTGAACTCTGGGCCTGGGCACTGTCCCTCAGCTCTTTAGCTCAAGGCTAGCACTCTACCACTTGAGCCACAGTGCCACTTCCGGCTTTTTTCTTTTTGCTTATGTAGTGCTGAGGAATCGAACCCAGGGCCTCAGGCATGCAAGGCAAGCGCTCTACCACTGATCCAACTTCCCAGCCCCTCATTTCTAAATTATTGATGGGAAGAATTGTAGAGGCTGGGTTCCCACAACAATGGAACTAAAGTCTAAATCTGGAGACATTTTTAAGAGAGCCTACTGTCCAAGCTGTGTCATGGTGATCGCTGGCTGTTTATAGACAGCTTTATAGTGAGAGTCAGGAACAAAAGTCAGAGCAGAAAGATTTGAACTCATCTGACTTTCCACTGAGAAGAAAGACCTTGAGGGGTTTCCTTTTCACACAGTACTGGATAGAGATATATTTTCCTATGTTCATCTACCAACATACTCAAATTACTTCAGTCATGATTGAAAGGACCCAGGTACTGCTTGGGCTGACAGTAGACCTTGTCATCATTCATATGGCTCTGGTTTTGTAGACATTTGGAATGTTTGGGTTATAGAGGTTTCCACTGAGATTTCAAAATAAGGGAGGGTGACCAGAAAATATGCAGCATGAACAGAATCTCTGCAGACAGCTCCTGAAGGGGTGGGGTAGTGGTGGTGATGTGTGAAGCTTGAAAGGGTGAAACTCAAGATGTAATGGGGACACCAGGATGTTGGAGATAGTAAGAGTCTAGAATTTCTGCTGAGGAAAGATGCAGGCAATGAGCAGAGTCAGCCCAGGAGAAAGGCCATGTAGGCTGCATTCAACCAGGCCATGGGATCAGGACTGTCAAGCCCATTGGAGCTCAATCCATAATACCAAGAGCCAGACACAGTTATAAGATTTATATTCAATATAGTTATAGGATATATTCAATGCTCTTGAATATAAATATTGAATATGTAGCTATTTACATACTTTAAAACTTTTTGTACTCTAAGAGAATGTGTAGAATGTAGACATCTACACATTTTCAAAGTCCACCTATCTCTAGAAATTACCACTACTCATATTTTGAATATTAATTACTAAAAGTTCTTAAGTATGTTTCCAAAACTAAGACTTGATAGATACTGTTTTTTACTAATAAATAAGGTAGAAAACCATGATGTTTAATTAGTATACCACATAGGATGGGAGTTGTTTCAGGTGCAAAGGAGTTTGAAATGTACCATCTTTGAGACTGTGCTTAGTTATTTTAACATGTGCCTTTTGTTTTAAATTACAGGTGGGTTTTGTTCTGTATCCTCCCACCGGAGGTCCTGCATGGGATCTGAATGATCATAGCAATAGCACGTTTCTTCTTATGTGCTTTTGCTGGCATTATGCATTTGCCTATGTCGTCATGGGAGTTGTTTATGTAGCTGTCACCTGGTGAGTTACTGCTTCTTCCTCATGGAGTACCCTTCTTTGGTATATAATTATCAAGGCTCAATAATATTGAACTTAAAATTCCAAAGAGGATTTCATTGTTTGCCGTCTCATAAGACTGGTTAGCATTGCAAAAAAATTCTCTGCAAATGTGGACATTGCCAGTAAAAATGAATACATGCTGATTTAAAGTTAGAATAACTTATGGTGTGTGTGGCGTGGTGTGTGCTCTGATACATACACTCACGCATGTTATTTTAGCTTCAGAGTGTCAGATGCTCTTTCTGCAGTAAGTTTTCCATTTATTCACATATACATGATTCCGCTGTAGTTCTTCTAAACCTGGATCCAATTTCTTGGAGTGCCATGAACTCTGAGAGTATGGCTAATTTGACCTTATTTAAAATTTCTGAAAGTTGAGGAATACCTTTTTTTTTTTTCCTGTATGTGCCTGTCCTGGGGCTTGAACTCAGGGCCTGGACTCTGTCCCTGACCTTTTCTTGCTCAAGGCTAGTAATCTGCCACTTGAACCACAGTTCTATTTCCAGCTTTTGGGTAGTTAATTGGAGAGAAGAGTCTCACAGACTTTCCAGCCTGGGCTGGCTTTGAGTCATGAGCCTTAGATTTCAGCCTTTTGAGTAGCTAGGCTTATAGTCATGAGCCACAGGCACTTGAAATGCTTTTAGTAAGAAACATGGTATAACTTTTCACAGGCAGGTGAGGAGCAATAATACAGAACATATAGTCTTAGCTCTGCTGTCTATTAGTTGTATGACATCAAGCCAATTACTTAACCATAGAGTAAAAGGTTGTTGCTTATAATATGTGAATCATAATATGCAATCAGATCATGAATTTATGAAGACATAAATCACAATAAATGTCATTGCCCACTTGCGTTTGCTGTCTTTCTCTTCTTAATCACTTTTAGTTATTAAAAAAAAGACTTAGTTGTTACCCTGCCAATGATGAATGAGTCCTATAATTAGACATAATTTGGCAATTAAAACACAGTGCCATAAGTGGATTTACTAGAATAATAAAGCTGTATTGGAAGTTTATCTATTTTTGGGTCCGGTCGTGGAGCCTGAACTCTGGGCTTGGGTGCTGTCCCTCAGCTCTTCAGCTCAAGGCTAGTGCTCTACTACTTGAGCCACAGTACCACTTCCAGCATTTTTCTTTTTGCTTATGTGGTGCTGAGGAATCGAACCCAGGGCCTCAGGCATACAAGGCAAGCGCTCTACCACTGAGCCACCTTCCCAGCCCTGTATTGGAAGTGTAAAGAAGTCTCCTCGCAATTGAAAGTTAAGGAGTAGCTTGAAAGATGAGCTAAAATAATAAGTGCGATCACAATTCCTTTCATTAATACCAAAGTGCAATGCCTTGACTGATTTCAATTTCCAGGCGTGATGGCTTCAGCACCTAATCTTCTATTTCAGTGCTGATTGAAATGTTCTGCTGTGATAGTGCTGTATAGCTAGTGTTCAATACTACTAGCTTCTGAAAACTTAAAATATAGCTGTACCACATTAGTTTCAGTTAATCTAAATATCCATATATAGTATATAGGTAGTGGCTGCCATTCTACACATCTATAAACAAGTTCTCCAGATTCTTAGAATGAAGTCGCTGCTTCTTGGCAATATGGTATCTCAGCTCCTGCTGGAACCAGCTTTCTATGTCCTCTAGGTAATGTCTCCTGTTCTAGGCTCCTCTGTATTTTACTTCTTCTTTTTTTGGGGGGGGGTGGGTTCCGGTTGTGGGGCCTGAACTCTGGGCCTGGGCGCTGTCCCTCAGCTCTTCAGCTCAAGGATAGCACTCTACCACTTGAGCCACAGCGCCACTTCCAGCTTTTTTCTTTTTGCTTAGGTGGTGCTGAGGAATCGAACCCAGGGCCTCTGGCATGCAAGGCAAGCGCTCTACCACTGAGCCACCTTCCCAGCCCTATATTTTACTCTAAGGCAGATCTTGTGCTAGAGCTCCAACCAAACAGACTATTCCCTTGCCTAGCTCCCAGGTTTACCTGTCAGAGTTTGAGTCAGCTCACTGTGAAATGTAAGTTGCTTTGAGTGAATTGCTTGTTTTGCTATTCATCCTATTTCATTCCTTGAATGAAATGTGTGTGAGCTTATTAGGGCTGGCTCTGTCAGTAAGTGCAACTTTATCTCTCCCACTATTGTTCTAGGCTGACATCTGGCCCTGTCTCCTTAGGGGTTGAGCAGTGTCTAAGAACAGTACCAGAATTCAAGGAAGTGTTCTAGTTCATGTCAGAGTCAAAGAAAGACTATTATTGCTTCCTATTTCAAAAACCTTCAAATTCCTACTGAATCTTTTAATTCACGTATAGTTCCCTAGAAACCACAACTTCAATTTTTAACTTTCTAACCTCTCTTCATTGTATGATGCATCATTCTAATCTTTTTGACCAGGCAATTTCCTCTACTTGACATATCTACATTAAATATGCATTTTCTTTTTTTGTGAATATTTTTGTGATTCTTCTAGCCTTCTTCATCTCTCCTTCTTGAGTTTTATAGAACGTTAGTTTCTATCAGACAATTTAAGAAGTCTACGAGACTTTTATCTCTAATTAAATTAGAAGGGGAGCTAGGTTCAAAGTGGTAGAGTCCTAACATTGAACAAAGGAGCTCAGGGACAGCACCTATCCCTGAGTTCAAGCCCCACAACCAAAATAAAATCCATATTTAGACCTGATTGATAAAGTCAGATGATTATTCCTATCTTAATTAACATTCCAAGAAGAAAAATACTCTATAGATTATAGTATTTCTACAAAACTCACATTTCCAAAAGTCCTTGCTATTCATATTTCATGACAATGAATAGAAACGCTGTTTGAAACAGTTAAATTAGAACAAGAATATATAATAATTCAAATATGATGGAATTAAAACTTGAAAATGTAAGAAATATATTTACAGGTACATATATTCATATGTGTGCAATTTGTATGTTTTCCAGTTTTGTTTTCTTAATTGCTCTTCAAAAAGTAAGACCAAGAAATGAGTGCTTTTGATCTGATGCTATATAAATTTAAGTGATAACTGAAAAATACCAGGGGTATTCAATATTATCATTCAGTGTGGCCAGATGGCTGGGTAATTCAGTCTTAAATTTCAGATTAAGGAACTTAAAAATCTTTTGATAGATTGTGATTCTAGAGTGGATGAATTACAACCCATTGCAGGATCAAACATTATATCAAAATTGGTTTGATACAACACAAATATTGCGCAACTAAGTTGGGGGAATGATTGCTGTAAGAATCTCCAACAGATGAAGCTGTACTTCTCAGCTTTCCCAGAACAATGATTCGAACATGCTTCATTCTATTCTGTGCCTGTGATTATGATGGTTTATTGGTGAAACCTGTCTATATGGAAATTTTGTTACATTATTTATGTGTCACAAATAATTCTCTCATACAAAAGTCTCTCAAAAGCTCTTCCATGGGGGTAGTAAACATTCCAATTAGTAATTTCTGTTTGATAGAGAAGCTCAGTGATACTCGGCTTTCGTTTTAGCTGGGCTTGTCACAGCCCGTAGATTCTCTTTTTGGTTCTAGGGATGATCAAACTTATCTCCTGAAACCTCATTGAATAATTATGTAATATATCTAAAAGTCATAATTTATCTGTTTACTTATATCCTTATTTATTTATTTATTTATTGGGGTCCGGTCATGGGGCCTGAACTCTGGGCCTGGGTGCTGTCCCTCAGCTCTTCAGCTCAAGGCTAGAGCTCTACCACTTGAGCCATAGCCCCACTTCCGGCTTTTTTTTTCTGCTTAGGTGGTGCTGAGGAATCAAACCCAGGGCCTCATGCATACAAGGCAAGCGCTCTACCACTGAGCCACCTTCCCAGCCCTTATATCCTTATTTAATCTGGAAAGATTTTCAAATAGTCCCAACCTTAAGGAATGGTGGGCAAATACAATCATAATACTCAATGTATGTATGTGAAAATGGAGCCAGGTAACCTGAAGAGATGGGTGAGATTGGGGCAGATGTAGGGGGAGGAGATTGATGGAAGGGGTGACATTGGTCCAGATACACTGTACTTGAGCTCATGGGAGGGGGGGTGCGTAGCTCATGTCTGCTTTTGTTTTGCTTTGTTTTGTTTTGTTTTTATATCCATTGTGGAGCTTGAACTCAGGGCCTGGGTGCTGTCCCCAAGCCTCTTCGTGCCCAAGGCTAGAGCGCTACCACTTCAGCCACAGCACCTCTTCTAGCTTTTGAATGGTTGAGATAAGAGTCTCACTAGTACTTTTTTTTGCCTGGGCTGGCTTTGAGCCATGATCCTCAGATGTCAGCCTCCTGAGAAGCTAGGATTACAGGTGTGAGGTAGCTCACGTCTGTAATCCTAACTGCTCAAAAGGATGAGATCTAAGAATCTCAGTTCAAAACCAGCCCAGGAAAAAGCCTGAGAGACTCTTTTATCTCCATTTAACCACCAAAAATGCTATCAGTGGAGCTGTGGCTCACACTAGGCTTGAGCAATAAAATCTTGGGGACAGTGTCCAGGCCAAACCTCAGGAAACCAAAATAAAAAAAGCATATTCATAAATTGACCTGTTGATAGAAACCTCCTTGTACAACTATTTAGAAATAATAAAAAAGAATTTATTCTTTTGGTTGCCACCCCTATTTACACAAACAATATCAAGTTTGTTGGACAATATTACTCTGTTTTTATTTCAGACATCATGTAACCAAAGATGGTTTTATTTTCTCTCAGGCTGGCTAAATGGAGTATTAGGAATCCCTGTACCTCAGAATTTGGGCTTCTGAAAAATGCTGAAAGAGATAAAGAATCAGAAGAGGAGATGTGATTTCCATGGTCAGTCAGTATCTCTACAATAACCTTTTCTTTATAGCATTGCTCTTACTTAAGACTTTGTCTGCTGACCTTTTTTTGGAAAACTGGCTGAAGTTGACTTTGTACTGTTTGTATTTGCACTCTATTTTAAACAATTTGCTTTTCTTTCTTTCTTGTTAGGTTTTGAACACAGGGTCCTGTGTTTTCTCAGTTTGCTTATTGGGCTGGTGCTCTACCCCTTGAACCACACTTGTAGCCTGGCTTTTTGGTTGTTATTTTGGAGGTTATAGATAGAAACTATGTTAATTTCAATGTTTTAATTTTTAGTTTTGGAAATATTTAGGATGACAAAGATCATTTTGCATATTGTGCACATTGTATTCTTCATTGGATTTTGAAAGAACATTGTATAGTTTTGTGCAAGGGACCTCAGCTTGTTTTCACTTGTAACTCATTGAATATAGATGTGTACTGTTTAGCTTGTTACCACCTGGGAAATAAATAAATGCATTTATCTTGGTGAAGAAGCATCAAATCTCTGGGTTTTTTTTTAACCACAGCTCACTCTTCAACAATTCAGTAAAGGGCTGTAAGACACAGGAATTCCTGTTTTTGTGCAGCCATTTCTCTATGAGAGCTTTAGTTCTCCCATGGGAAAAGTCCACCGGGGGTCCTGCTGAGATGCATGGCTTTTCTGAGAGGGGGAAGAGATGATACTAGGATAAATGGCTGCAAAGCCATCAGAGACTGACAAAAGAGAGTTGTGCTGCCATCTGTAAAAGTCCTTCCAACAAAAGGTAACAACCAGGATGCTAAGCAATTTCTACAATGATATGATAGGTACTCTACTGAAACTTCAAGACAGGGGATGTACAAGCTGCTGTGCAGCTAGATGCTGAGGGGACCCCTTCCGGTTTTGCTCATTGCTACTGTAGTGGAGAATCATCTTAAGAGAGAGATCATAGAGTCAAAATTTTTGGCCCAAAAGAGCAGAAAACCCAGTACTTTTGTAAGTCCAACTCCCAAACACCTGTTACTGTCTATTGTTAAGCAAAGGACTGTCATCTGTATATGTGTGTGTGTATATATATATATATATATATATATATATATACACACATATATATGTATATGTGTACAATATATATACAGATATAGACAGTATATATATTGTATATATATATACTGTATATATATGTATATATGGATACATATGTATATACATATGTATATATATACAGATATAGACGGTATATATATACATATATATGTATATATATACAATATCTATGTATACAGATATATATATATATATGTATATACTGGACAGGTTCTGACTTGAATCCAGTTTTGTGGAGGGGTGAGGCATAATTGAGAGAGAAACAGAAGGTTCTTAGGAGCTGGGACTGAGAGCTGAGAAGAGGAGCAGATCAGCTTTGTGTAAACACCAGCAGTGAAAGCTATAGTATGGAGTCTGGTGGGAACAGGACATGCAGAATTACCTAGTACCCATAACCTTGCCATGTCACATACTGCTTTTATTTCTCTGCTTTCTATATTCTCAGAGTACCAGAAACACTGGGGAGAAATAGACACTCCTCTGGCATTTCCTGCAGCCACACCTTTATGGGCTGAATGTCTCTGCTGCTAGGGAACACATGGTCTTGTGTGGCAGAAAGAGGTTGAGGTGGTTGCTGTTCTTGCTTCATTACCAGATTTACATACTACAAATCCTGATAGGAATTTCAGCACTAGGCATAGTTGAATGCATTTACTGGAAAAGCCAGTCAGGGCTGAGATTGTAGGCATCCCTTTGTGTTTTAACCTGTTTATATTTCAAAGAGGGAACTTTTCAATAATAATCCTGGTCCCTACACCAAGTAAATTGAAAACAAAGAAAGACAAACCTGGAAAGAGAAAAATGAAACAACATCTTCTTTCATTCAACAAGGAAGAAATATTGACTTTTCTCCTTTGTTTTTTTTAAGTTATTTTGTCTTGTGCTATATTTGTTTTACCTCACTTATATTTTTTATACGTCCATAAAAATATATGTATTTGTACTTATCCTCTCTTCCTAGCTTTCTTCTTTTTCCTTTCCTTTCCCCATTTCTACTTTCCTTTTATTGTTAGTGAGACTTTTTTTTTTTTTGTCAGTTGTAGGGCTTGAACTCTGGGCTTAGGCGCTGTCCCTGCGCTCTTCAGCTCAAGGCAAGTGCTCTATTGCTTGAGCCACAGTGCCACTTCTGGTTTTCTAGTGGTTTGTTGGAGATAAGAGTCTCACGGACTTTCCTGCTCGGGCAGGCTTTGAGCTGCGAACCTCAGATCTCAGCCTCCTGAGTATCTAGGATTACAGGCCTGAGCCACCAGTGCCCAGCTAGTGAGACTTTTATTAAGTGTGTAATCTGGTCAAAAATATCTTCACTGCTTCAAGACTAAGACTTGAGTTAATCTCAAGTGTTATTACAACTCTTTCATAGCATTAGGTTTGACACTACTCTGATATTTGTGTATAGGCATATTTTATAGGAATACAAAACATATCAGTTCCACAGTCTTTAGGGAGAGATCTGATAGATACATACAAAGTTTCTGGTCTATGTTAATATGGAAGAGACATCACCTTTGAAAAAAAGACCATGTGGCAAATGTCTATAGACTTTCTTGCCAAAGTTTTGGCCCAGTCTCCTTAGAATTGCTCAGCCTAACTCAGCAGATCAACGTTAACTAACACTCATGAAGGCATAAGTGATAGTAAGTAAGGATATACAACTATTCATGGACTTATATGTATTCCTTCAATCCTTGGGCCCAAGGTTTAAAAATTGGTCTACAATCTCAACTATTTAGGAGGACGAGATCAGAACTTTGATTTGAGGCTCGCTCAGGAAGAAAAGTCTGTGAGACTCCATCCCTAAAACAACCAGCCAAAGGTGGAGCTGAAGGTATGACTGAATTGGTAGAGCTCTAGCAAAGCAAACAAGCAAGCATGTATGAGTCTTTGAATTTAAACCCTAGTACCAGCAAAAACAAAGAAAACCCTGATAAAAATGTATGAGCAGTACAATGGTGTGAAATGTGTGTGTACATGTGTATGTGTGTATGTAGATGTGTGTGTTTGGAGGCAAAGGGTCCAGGGTAAGGGAGAAATTTAGACAGGATAAGTCTTTTATTTATTTATTTTTAATGATTAATTACAAAGGTGATGTACAAGTTGGGTGCTCCTGACTACAATCCTAGCTACTCAGGAAGCTAAGATCTGAAGGAAACAGTACAAAGACAGCCCTGGGCTGGAAAGTCTGTAAGACTCTCATCTCCATAAGCTACTCAGAAAATAAACAAACCCAACAACTGGAAGTGTCACTCTGGCGCCAGTGCCCCAGTGGTGGAGCACTCACCCTGAGCAAAAGAAGCTCAGGGACAGCACCCAGGTCCAGAGTTCAAGCTCCAGAACCAGCAAAAATCAATAATAACAACAACAAAAAAAGGTGAAGTACAATGGAGTTATATTACATAAGTCAGGTAATGAGTTCATTTCTTTTTGGACATTGTGACTCTTCCCTTGCTCTCTCTGTTATAAAAAGTCTTTAAAATGTATCATTTTAAGATCTTACTCACAGCTCAGTGTGGTTGAACACATCTTTAATTCCACTTACTAGGGAACCTGGATCAGGAGGATTGTTTCAGTTTTTAAGAGCAGCCTAGGAAACATCACACTTTAATAATCAGATATTACAGTTAAATGCTAAGATTATATAACAAGAGAAGGAATTTTCAAAGCTGCAAAAAAGAGCACACAGTTAGTTACAAGGCAAACTAATTCCAACAATATTAGACTTCTCATTGGACTTGTTACCATCTAGAAAAGCATGAAAGGAGTTACTTCAAGTCCTGATGGTAAATAATGCCTAAAACAATGACTATGTCTGGCCAAGATACCCTTTTGCATTTATAGAGAAGTACAGATCTGCCAAGATAAATACTAGAGGAAATAATTCATGATGACTGATTGAGTGCTGCAGAAGACAAAGAAGCCAACATAGAAACAAGGGATAAAAGATAAGGTAGGAATGAATGCTCTCAGAACAAATTTCATGAAATAAATGAATAATTTATTGGGTACGATTCAAATAATCAATAAACTAATAAATCTCTAAGATGTAGTAGATAGAAAAAAAACAAAGAGTAATTGAAGCAACAGGGAAAGAACAAAAAACTTACACTAGTTAGCATATACTTCTCAATAATAACCTTAAGGGTAAATGATTTGAGAGGGAACCAATGGCTCATGCCTATAGTCTTAGCTACTTGGGAGGCTACGTCTGGAAGATTATGGTTCCAAGCCAGACTGGCAGAAAAGCCTGATAGATATCAACTCCTGTTAACCAGCAGGAAAGTCAGACTGGAGGCAGGAGACATGGCTCAGTGGCTCAACTGAGAGCTTGAGGCTCTGAGTTCAAGCCATAGTACCAACATCACACACACACACATATATACTCTAAATGGTATTCATTTTCCAATTAAAAATGCAGACTGGTTGAATTGGTTAAAAATAAAATCTGTTTATTTCTGAAAGAAACATCTCTCTGGCAAGGACATTCACAGAAAGACAAAATGATGTTATATCAAGCAAATGAAAAAAATAAAAAGGCAAATGAAATCCAAACTCAGTCTGAAGGTGCTCTGCTCTTAACTCTTCTCTGGCCCAAAGTAATGGAGTCAGCTGACCAAAGATCAAAACCTCAAGCTGAGTCCAAGGAAATAAGCTTTAAGCTATTCTCTCAGGTCAGAGATATGGAATGCTAAGTAACACATATATCAAGATCTCAGAACTGCAAGAACCATTCAAATCTACAATTAATTATGGAAAGAAGCAATAGAGATCAAAGCTGAGATTAATAAAATGGAAACAAAAAGATGATGCAAATACTCAGTGGAACAAGAAGTTGGCTCTTTGAAAAAATAAATAAGATTGACAAACTCTTACTAAACAAACCACAAGGAAGAAAGAGAAGACTTCAAGTAATAAAATTAGAAATGAATAGGAAAGACACATAACATTAAAATTCAGAAAACTTATTAGGGAGTAATTTGACAGCTTGTGATTTAAGAAATTGGAAAGCCTAAAAAATTGATTCATTCCTGCACACATATTACCTAGAGAAATTGAACCAGGAAGATATAAGCTCCTGAACCAATGTGTATAACAATTATATTGAAATAGTAATAGTCTCCTTATAAGACTGAAGCAGTAATAGATTCTCTAACATAGAAAGCCCAAGATTTGCTGAGTGCAAGTGGCTCACACCTGCACTCCTAGCTACACAAAAGGCTAAAATCTGAGCATATAACCAAAAGAATCAAAGTTAGTCTGTTACAGATTTCTTGTATAACAATGTTTAGTACTGTGCTCTTCAAAATAACCACATTATGGAATCAGCCTAGATGCCCATCAGCAATTAAATGAATAAATAAAATGTGGAATGAAGACACAAGGA